AAAATAGGATTACTTAGTCTTCATTTTAAAAACAAGCAGGCATCTGAGAGTTACCTTCCAAGCATATATTTATATGCAGATTACAGATATAATTTAATTTTGAGCTAGCCATTAATACCATTTGATGGCCAATAAAATTGCTGCCTTTTCCCATATTGGGGGCAAAAGAGTTGCGATAGTTTTCATCAGACAGTGTAAATAAAACATGTGGCTATCAGAAATATGGTTTTCTTTTTGAGGATTATGTGAAGAACGGCTTCACAGTTAAGATTTCCGTAAGTAAATTAATTCTATATATTATTTATCTGCAAATTATCAGGAATATTTAGTTATAGCAAAATTTAAGTTCATATTTCCCCATAATCTTTCCAATACATTTCAATTTGCACTAACGAATCAATAAAGTATAGAGTTAGCCAATTGGTTAACCTAAAAATTCGTTATGCATCCTATTATTTCTCATAATAAATTAGCTTACATAATTATAGAAGTGGGTTGACGTCGTTGTCGCAACTTGCTCTTGCTGTCGGGGTAACTTAGTAGAACGCACCTAGTCCGAAGTCCTCTGCCATAGTAGTTATCCTAATTCCCAACATCAGAAAGGGGGCTTGGTACATTTTCAAACTTTTCGCCGGCATCGTAGTCGGCATCATAAGTGAGTTTTGTCATTCTCCGCACAAAGCTACGAACTCGCCAAAGCGACAAGGGAAGTCAATTCCTCGACAAACGTTCTGCCAAAAACGGTTACACTATCACTCCTGTTTCTGCCCTGGCCTATCTACTCTTTAACCTCTTATTCCAATGCCGTCCTATCACAACTTCTCACTTGTTTTCATTCCAATCATCAAAATGTGTGCCCTTTTCTGGTAAACTGAGTGTGGCCTCTTCACACTTGGTATTTACCACCCCTCTCTTTCGATGGGCTTATCCCACTCGGACCTCCAATCCGGATCCTTTCATTGTCTCGTAGATCCGTTCCTTATCTTTCTGGTTGACCGATTTAACTCGGATCGAGTCCCTATGTGCATTTTACTCCTAGCGCTATTTCTTAAGTCCACAGAAGCACGTGAACGTCCGCTTCACTGAGCGGAGCGCTTAAGCTCTGATTCCCATGCTTGCAGATATCAGGTATTCCCTTCACAGATCGTCTCCTCTATTAAACCCATGTTATTTGAGCAAACTATAGACGCCTATTTCTGGTCGCCTGCGGCATCTCAAGTGGATTTATACTCCATGTTGGCCACAACACCTAATTCCCGCGACGGTTTGCTTATCCGTCCGATTAGCACCCTGACTACCAGGCCCAAAATGGTTTATTCAAAACGGACATCACTCACTGACAACGTTTTCGCTTGATTGCTGAAACTCCCCGACCCTAATTTTCCATATCTTGATCCATTTTTAGCGCTAGATCCCTGGTTCATGCGACTCCTTTTTGCTACTCCTGCTGTATTCTTGTTGTTCCCGGGTTTACTTAAGCAGTAGGCAAAGTTGTCGCTAACTCTACCTTCCCTCAATCTCCTGTTCATTAGATTTTTCTCCGCAAGGATGTCAATGGCCTTCCTAATCTTATGCTTCTTTGAGAGAGCGGCGATCCAATGAAAAATCCAAATATATGTTCATATATTTTTCCGTTAAATGTAAAATAGGTTGTTCTTATTGTCAAGACGATTGATCAGATTAATGGTTCCCTCCTGAACCGTCGTGATTCCAGGATATCCTCCTCTTGGTCCAAGATATCCAACAGGGCTTTTAGCGCATTTTCTCCAGACATGTTTGTATGCATAAATTGTAAATCAAAACTTAACAATTAGTATGTTTCTTCCAGTTCCATGTTTTTTATTTTTTTAGAAAATTCAAATGAATGCTTTGCCGTGTTTCATAGCCTGTCATTTAATTTCTTGAGTCTCAAACATATAAACTTGGCCAATTTGAGTGTTGCTCCATACTTGTTTAATATTTTAACTTAAGTGGCTCACCTTCTTTGCGTATCTTCTGTAATCCGTAGGCTATTGGTGATCGTGCATCCTTTCTTATGATTGAATCTCTCGTCCATGTGTCAATTTCCCCATTACAATACATAAGTTTCAGCATTGCACTTAAGATTCCATTAATCTTCACAGTTGGATCTTTGTTTAATATACGATATGTGGTCTTGTCTCGTAGAATATGTTTCATCTTCTTGGTATATTGTTTATTGTTCACTATTGTTGTCACTCCTCTTTCTTTACTGGACTATCTATCTACTATTTACTCTTTTATCAACTAGTCTCTCAGCGGACAAGGAAGGAGTGACAGTGATAATTGCCAAACTGTACTAGAAATTCACTTGAGATGCCGCATGCGACCACGGATAGACGTCTACAGTTTGTTCAGATAACAAGGGTTTAATCAAGGAGACAGTCTATGAAGGGAAGACTTGATATCTGCAAGCATGAGAATCAGTGCTTAGGCGCTATATTAAGTGAAGCGGCAGTGTACGTGCTTATATAGCCTTGTGAAATAGAGCCTGGCGTGAAATGCACACTGAGACTGGAGCCGAGTAAACTCGGTCAACCAGAAAGAGAAGTAACGGATCTACGAGACAATGAGGGGATCCAGACTGGAGGCCCGAGTCGGATCAGCCCCGAAAGAGAAGGGGTCGGAGTGAATAGCAAGTTTGGTGTGGCCACACTAGATTTGCCACAAAAAGGGCACACATTTTAACGAGTGGAATGTAAAAAAGTGAGAAGTTGTGATAAGGCTGCCGCGAGAATATAGGGTAAAGGGTAGATACGCCAGGACAGAAAGAGGAGTGATAGTATAACCGTTTTAGGCAGAACGTTTGTCTTTTTGACGAGTTAGTGGCTTGAGGCGGAGAATGGCAGCACTCACCGATGATGCTGACTACGACGTCGGCGAGACGTTTGAGAAGGTACCAAGTCCACTGTCTGATCCTGAGAATTATGATAACTACTATGGCAGGGGA